AAGAAATGCTAAGGAACTTTGCTTAAAACTTAAAGTCAGGAAAAAGGATAGGATTCTGTTCAAATAGTAGGTACATGAACCTATCAGTAGCTCAAGACAGGACAAAAATCCTTAACACTGGAAAACAAAGCCTAGGAAAAAATCAACAATGTTTTAGTCAAAAGTCATAAAATTCTTTTCCACCAGTTCAGTCTCATGTACTTAATCTATCTTCTGTTGTGGTTTAATCTTCTCAATTAAATTCTGGGACATAATATTCAACTCCAGACTTGTCCCTACAATTAAGTTGGCCATTTTCTTAGTTTTTGAACTCTTATTTATGTGTGTCTATATTTAATTTTCCTGGTATAGCACTCCCTTCAGAACTTCTTGGAGATCTGGTCTGGTGTTGGTAAATTCTTTCAGGTTTTGATTATCTGAGAATTTTTCGTCTTTTCTTCCCACATGAAGGATAATCTTGCCAGGTATAGTATTCTTGGTTGAAATTGCTTTTCCCTTAAAACCGAATGTATTTTCCCATTCTTTCCTCGCTTGCATTGTTTCCAACAAGAGGTTTGCTGTTAGCCTGATGGGATATTCTTTGTAGGTAACTTGATGTTTCTCTCTTGCCAATCTTAGTATCTTGTCTTTATCTGTGGTTTTGGTCAATCTGGCTATAATGTGTCTTGGAGAAGATGTTCTTGGGTTGATTCTATTTGGGGTCTTTTGTATTTCTTAGAACTGGATCTTTGAATGCCTCTCTAGGTTTGGAAAGTTTTCTTCCAGGATTTCACAAAATAGATTATCAATGCCCTTATGAGTCTCTTCGCCTTCTGGGATACCAGTTATCCAGATGTTTGGATGTTTGATGGCATCTAATATTTCTCGTATATTCTTCTTTTTTTTTTTTTTTTTGCAATTTTCTCAGTCTTCATGGTAGATTTTTCTAGGCCAGCAATTTTATCATCTACATCTAAGATTCGATTTTTCTGTATGATCTACTCTACTTTTAATAGTTTCAAGGGAGGTTTTGACTTCCTGTATTAAAGCCTTCATCTCTAACAGGTCCATTTGATTATTTTTTATAGTGTGTATTTCCTCTTTTAGATCTTGCAAGAATTCCCTCACTTCCTGGAACTCATCAGTTCCTTTCTCCTGCCTCTTTTGTAGGTCATTGTCTCTTTTTTCTTCCATCTCTATTAGCTTTGTCACTATGAATATTCTAAATTCTTTATCAGACATTTCTGTAAGTTTCATTGTACTGTTTGAGGATGAAGAGGTTTTTTTGTTTGTTTTTGAGAAGAGATAGTTTCTTGCTTTCCCATATTTCTTGTGACCCTACAGTGATTACTAATCTTCAGATGGGTGGTGCGTTTCTTCCTAATTCTTGAAGTTCAATCTGAGTGCAAGTATTTCACAGCTCAAGTTCGGTATCCATCTCAGGATGGGCCTGGCGTGTGCCTTTATAGAAATGAATCTGGAGGGAGACATCTCAGCAGAAAAATCTTCATTTTTAGTCAAGGAAAACAATATTTCACAGCTCAAGTTCGGTATCTATCTCCTATAATTATAATAATAATAATTATTATTATTATTATTATTATTTCACCAAAGAGAGACAGAAAGAGAAAGGGAGAAAGCAAGCAACCAGGTTTGGAACTTGAACAGCGGTCAGCCATGTGGGAATCCAGCACCTTTAACCTCCATGCCACCTGTCAACTCCTCATTTAGTCTTTTAACCAAAACTTATACATGTATAAAGTGCCAGGCAATAGGCTAGCAATTCAAGATGCAATAATAAGTACGAGAGTCCTTGTTCTGAGTGCACTCTTCAGGTTGAGTCAAAATGCAGAATAATTGTGGTGGTTAAGTTGGTGAGCTTTGGAGTCAGACTGCCTCAGTTTTAATTCAGTTGTAAATATCATCTCTGTGGCCTTAGGAGAATTTCTTAACTTTTTTTTCTCCCTCAGTTATCTCATCTAGGAATGGCAATACTAATATTTCTAACAGAGTCATTATTAGGAATAATGTACATGTTAGCTATTCTATCCTATCCTTTGTTATCCTAGCCTTTGTCCAGAGAAATAGAAAATGAACTTCATATGCCATTTGAAGGTCCTAAGGACTCTCTCATGTCTGGATCTTCACCTCTCTACTGGGATAGTAACTTATCCTAGTTCTTTTTTTCTTTACTCATGGCAGAACACACAAGCACACAGATGAGAGAAAAACATAAAGGTGAGCACTTTCCACAAAGTCTGGTCACACTGTGATCCCTTTCTTACAACCCTTCAGCCAATTAGAATTAGGCACTCATGTACATTCCTACTGTGTTTTAGGCTGACTGGGTAAGGGATTCTAACTGTAGTCGCCATGTGGAATACAGCATCTCTTGAGTAGCACTTCACCACTGTGCCATGGTGCCAGACCCTGTCTCACTTCTTTTATCCATTCTGTTTATTTATTTATTGTTTTTTTTTTGGTTTTAGTTTTGTTTTGGGGAAGGAGGTTAGAGCTTGTTGCTACAGGGCATGTGTACTCACTGGAGAGACAGAGACAGAAAGAGAAAAATCACCCCACACACAAGGGGGATGGCCATGCCGCAATTCCTTTTCCTTCATTCTCCTCTTGGAATCTTGGGCATGCACACATACATACCCAGCATGAGTTTTAAACTACTGGGTTCAGGACTTGAACTGCGATCCAGTATGTGGGAGTCCAGCGATGTAACCATTATTCCATCTCCTGGTCCCCTTTTATCCATTTTTTTTTTTTGGAGAGGTTTTATTTTTATTTGCTATAGGGCACGTCCACTCACCAGAAAGACAGAGATAGACAGAGAGACAGAAAGCGAGAAATCCCCACCCCACCCCCGGGGGAATGGTCATGCTCCAATCCCTTCTCCTCCATTCTCCTCTCGGGATCTTGGGCACACATGCACACAGGCCCAGCATGAATTTAAGCCACTGGGTCCAGAACTCAAACCACGGTCGACTACATGGGAGTCCAACGACATAGCCATTATACCAACTGCTGGTCCCCCTCTTATCCATTCTTAAGACTTGGTATCCAGATCCTTCACCATTTTGTTCTCCCTACAAAGTCTCACTCCAAGTGTGACCTCCAGAATTTAGCATACTACCCCAAATATGGTCTGATTCGGGAGTATTTTCAAAGTGGTCTAGACCTTATTATACCTTAGAAACTAAGAAAGAACTCTGATTTTTCCAGGATAGCTCTTTCTTTCGTAGGTGAGAAACTGCAACATTGAAATGGGCAGGACTTAAATTACGTTGTTGCATACAGGCAGACAGAATCAGAACCTAGGCCTCTTGATTCAGTTTTTCCTTTTACTTTATTCTGTACTCTACAGAAAGAATTGTTTGTTCTAAGATAGTCTATCTTTATTATTCAAACCTTAGCTCTAAGAAGAACTTGGTGTTCCTCGGAAATCTGAGAACTGATCTTATTTCCTTAGGAGTAGAGCCTGATTTTCTCGTGTTTTCATTTTGGTAACAATATGAACTAAGCCCCATTGCATCTGGTCTTAATATAATCTTCAGAGTAGTATCACTGATTTTATATCAGCCCCCTGCCCTATTCATAAATCAGGTATTATAATCACATATAATAAACTGAGTTTCCATGAATATCTTTCTGGTTATTTTGCTTTTTAAAATTTTTTAAAGGCTTTTGCCTTAGGGCGCATGCTCTCACAGGAGAGAGACAGAGACAGTGAGAGAGAAAGTGAGAAATTACTCCTCAGGGGAGATGGCCATGCAACAGTCCTTTCTGCTATATTCTCTTCCTGGGATTTGGGGCATTCACACACACTCCCACACACACCTGGCATGATTTTTAAGTTACTGGGTCTAGGACTTGAACTGTGGTTGGCTATGTGGGAGTCCAGTGATGTAACACTATGCCATCTGCTGGCCCCCTTTTGCTATGTTTTATGTTAAAAATAGTAGCTACTATGTCTGTGGAGGCAAAAATGGGGGTGACAGCAATAAAGACTAAAACAATTGCTTTAACAAGACAAGGTATGCTCGTCACAAAAAGGGAGAAAGGATCCAGAAAGATCAGAATTTAATTGTAAAATTGTGATCTCCTAATCTATCAGCTCTCAACTAGAGACAAATCAGCACCTTCTTCTTAATCTGAATGTTTATGTCTGAGTCATACTCTGGACCTCTTGAATTAGAATCTTTTAAAAATATTTTATTCATTTATTTCTGAATGAGTGAAAGAGGTAGAAAAATAGGCAGACAGACAGGTACTTCCAACAGGGTCTTCACTTACAGGGTTGGCCAACACAGGTTATGGGCATTTTTGCATGCACCACCATACTCAGGGAGGTCCCAGGACAGAAACCATGGACATTTCCTATGTGGTTTCACTTGCATAACTGCTATACCACCACCTGACCCTGAATTAGGATCTTGAGGTTGAAGGGGGCAGGGTCAGAAAACAGACATGTAAAATATTTTAAATGTATTAATTTCTTTCTCAAGAAAAACAGAGAGAAAGGCATCCACAACAGGGTCTTCATACCATGGTCCATGCCAGCATCAGCCAGCCAGCATCATGGGCACACACACATCTGGTGTGCACAGAAAGAACTCAGGATATGGATTCAGACACTTATATGACTTCAGCTGCACAGAGCATTGTAATACTTCTGTGCCACTACAGCTAAACAAAACACAAACCTTAAAAAAAATCCTAGAATTACACATTCTAAACTAATCTTTTGCATATTTGTTCCCTCTTGTTAATTAAACAGATTATGTTTTATGGACCTGAATAATAATAAGTAAGACAAAACAACACTAAAGCATACTGTCACACCATCATTCTACAGCCTGTTAAGACAAATATTTTCCCATAGAAGTCTTCTTGGTCTTTAATAGTCTGGTGATTTTGCCCTTGGTGTAAATAGATCATTTGCAAAATGACTTCATAATAGAGGCTGAGGTTCTCATAATGGGGCCATATTCCTCAGTTCAGTAAGAGAGCTGAGCCTTTATCGATTTGCTAATAAACTCCTGACTTAGGAACTCAGGTGGATGAATCACATTGCTTCTCATGGAAAAGATGAAAACTTTCTTGGTGGCTATCTTGGCTACTGGCTATTTCTCAAGTAAGGATTTGTCAAAGAACTTTGGGGAAGGAGTAAACATTTGATCCTCCAGAGGAAGTAACAGGCCAACAATAAAGGTTTTTGAGACACAGGAATTTTTGAACTCCAAATCTTTTCTCAGAGAAGAATTCACCTATATCAACTTAAATGAATATATCACTTGTCGCATCCATTTTCAATATTCTAAGAACTCTGCCATAAACAATTTTCGGCTTGAGATAGTTTAAGGGATGATCTATAAGAGTTGTAAACAACATCTGATAAATACTTTGACCTTTTGAGAAGATAATCAATTTCAACTTTTCTCTTTTAAAAAAAATGATTTATTTAATTTTATTTATCACCATTACTTTTTCATTTAACCAGAGAGAGAGAAAGAAAGAGAGAAATTAAGACATCAGGTGGCCCTATACTCTAATTATGGTTGGCCATGTGAGAGTCCAGCACCTTAATCACCACGCCACCTGTTGATCCTCCTTTCTCTTAATTCTTTCCTACAATTCTCACACACACTCGCATTTGTGTATGTGTGTGTGTGCGTGCATGTACACACAAACACATTCTACACAAACCAATGTCACTTTTTGCCATGGCTTGCTGTTCAGATGTTACTGAATCTTGAAAGGCTCAGCTCTTTGTAGTTAACTCCAGCAAAGCGACACCCTGGGAATCCTATAGCATGAAACTGAGTCTGCCAGCCAAATGGTGCTGCTAGAGGGGAGGGCAAGCTGCAGCTGTGAAAAGAGGTCAAGGCTGTAAAACAGAACTTAAAATCAGTTATGGAACCATTAATAGTTTGAGTAAGCAGATATTGACAGAGATCTCAAGCTTTCTGAGCTTTCTTACAAACAGGTAGTTTTGAAAAAGAATACATGCAAGACTGACAATAATCAGAAACAAAAGCAGGTATCTAAGGTGCCTGTCAGCAGGTAACCAGGATGGCTAAGAAGAGCTATATCTTCTTTAAAAGTAGACCTATACAATGTCTATGTAGCCCAGCAATGGATGATATACTGATTCCCAGAGAACAAAGTTTGAGTTTAAATACCTTGTGTCTAAAGTCAGCATTCAATTAGGAAAAGGCTATAGCTGAGTTCTCAGCTGAAGCATTTATCATTCCAGGCATGAGGAAAGGTGGAAAACAGTATTTGGGCATCAGATCTGGCCAGATAAACCTGGTGTGTAGAATCCACTTAGTCTTCTATGACTTTCATGGTTATTAATTTATATGTGGTCACTAAATGGCCTAAATAACTGTACACATTTTAACACTTAATCATTTTTCTAAACATCTTTATTTCAGATATTTTTGGTGATGATTCATTTAAGGTAAGTTTACTGCTTCCTGAATAAGAACAGCTCTTACAATCTTAGCCTTACAGAATTTCTGTTAGGTTGAACCACACTAAATCATATAAAACTGCCAATACCTGACCATTTTCAATCTACATGATGGCAATTTCATATGGGTCAATCTAAAAATCTCTGTCAAAATAGACCCTGAGAAAAACCAGGACTCACCTCTGACTCTTATTATTCACTCATGCCCTTCTACTAATAGCAATTAAAACTACTAATTTTTTTAAAATTTTTTTCCTCTTCTTTTAACTTCATTTATTGCTTCTGCCTGGATTTAAGTAGTCCTCACTTCTTGCCCATATTGTTACAGTAGCCATTTAATGGTCTTCTTGCATTTAACCTGCCTCAAATTGTCAAACTGTGACCACCTATTTTTGGAAATAGTTTTCTTTGAATATAGGCATGCTCATTTATTTACATATTATCAATGGCTGTTTTCAGGCTAGAACATCGAATTGAGCAATTAGAACAGAGACCAAATGGCTTAAAAATCAGAATGTATTTACTATTTTCACTTAACAAAAGATTTTCTTTAATTTACATTTAATCAGTGTACATCTGTACAGCATACAAAATCACTTTTCCGAGTACAGAGTGCACATTAGTCCAGTCGAAGATATTACCATGTATGTTATCATTATCTTAATCTTCTCTGCAACTTTGAGTATGAACTTTCTAAAACACAAATCTGATTGAGACTTCTCTCTGCTTAAAACAGCACCTCCCAGTATCCTCAGGATAAACTTTTTGCATGTTTTACAATACTCTCTTTCTTTTTGAGAGAGGGATTTTTGCTCACCAGAAAGACAGAGGGAGACACAGAGACAGAAAGTACTAAATCACCCCCCAGGGGAGATGGCCATTCTGCGATCCCTTCATCTCTTGGCATTTTAGGCACATGCGCCTGCCATGAATTGGAAATTGCAGGTCTGGGACTTGAACTGTGGTCAGCCACATGGGAGTCTAGTACCTTAACCACTGTACTGGACCCCTACAATACCCTCTTTAATCCAACCTCTTTTTTCCAAAAAGGAGAAAATCTCTTCTCTCACCCTAGGTTCTAGTTAAACTGTTTGGGTGTCTGTGCGTCCTTGTGTATATAATTCTCCTTAACTAAAGATCCTTCTTTCCATACTCATATCCAATTTTAAAAGTCATTTGCATCTTTTAAGAGCCTACTAAAGCTTTAATTTTATGCTAAAACTTTCCAAAACATACCACATAGGCTTAATTACTAAAAAGGTGCTAAGAAACATAGTAAAATTTCCCAATGAGTGATTTGCGTACTTTCTAATGATATTAATGATTATTTTAGTTAATACACCAGTGAAGCTTTTATTTAAATAATTAACACTTTTTCGTCAATGATTTAAACAAATATAACTTTGGGACCAGCAGATGGCATAGCAATTTCGTTCCTGGACTCCTATAAGGTCGCTGCAGTTTGAGTCCCAGACCCATTGGCTTGAAAAATCACACCAGGCACGTGTGCATGTGTGCCCAAGATACTGGGAGAAAAATGGAGAGAAGAGGTTGCGGCGTGGCCATCCTCCCAGGGAGGTGATTTCTCACTTTCCTTCTCACTGTGTCTGTCTCTTACTCTCTCGGGCAAGTTTGTGTGCCCTGATGGAAAAACCTCTTAAAAAAAAAGGACGAATATAGCTTTAGACTCAAGCTATCACAGATACATATACTAGATAGGTTGTATACAAATCTAACGTTAACAGTCAAGTTTAAAAAGTGAGCCAGTTTGGGCCAGGAAGTGGCATGGAGACACTTCATTAAAGCACGATGCCACATGGCTGACTGTGCGGTTTGAGTACCAGACCTGGTAGCCTAAAAAAATCACACCAGGAACATGTGCAGGCATGCCCAAAGTCCTGAAGAAACTGGAGGAGAGGGGACTGTGGCAGGATCATCCTCCTGGGGAGTGATTTCTCACTTTCCTTCTCTCTTCCTTTCTGTGAGTGTATGTGTCCTATAGCAAAAAATAAAATTAACTTAATTTAAAAATGGTGAACGAGGGCCGGCAGGTGGCATGGTGGCTAAGGACGCTGGACTCCCACATTGCCAACCAGTTTGAATTCTGGATCATGGGACTTGCTTTCTCACTCTCCATCTTTCTCTTTCTCTCTCTGTCTGTCTGTGGTCAAATAAAAATAAATAAATAAAGTTAAATTTAAAAATTCTTAAAAGGAAAAAATAAATAAAAATGGTGAGCCAATTTAAAGAAAAATACTTTTACAGGAAAAATGGTATATGAATTTAGAAAAGCATATGAACTAAATGACTGAAATTTAGGAAATATTGCTGTAATGGGAGTCATGAAGTCATATAGACAAGAGAATAACCTGCTATACTGGATATATGGATAGACTGTGATCTGAATTACTAAGTAGAAGACGGTGGCAACTCATTCCTCATCTGCTTATTACATTATATTCATGACTTCCAAGCTACCGACTGCCTAGAGATAAATTGTTCTAACAAGCAAGGTCCTCTAAGGCCAGCTTATACTAATCTGATAGTACGGAGGAAAGCAAAATAAAGTGAAGAGATGTTAGGATAATTTAAACCTGGTAGCTTCTTCCCATATTATTCCAGTATCTTAATTCCCAGAGAATTAAACGTTGGCCAATGCCAGAGTAAGGCCACACAATGAGTCCTGTTTCAGGAGCCACAGTTAAAGAAGGGCTTTGATGAATGAAAATGATCATAGAGGCATCTGGACAGTGCTGATAGTCATTGCCAAACACTAGTTTCAGTAATTTTTGTCACTTCTTAAGTGGTTCCCTTTCCTGCTTTTCCAACAAGTTGCAGACAACCAATGATCTGGTCTGAATAGCCTCTGTTGCCCTACAAGATATCCCAAAAGCTTTGGCTGCTGAACTTAAAACATATTTTTTAATGTTAGGAGTTTAAAAAAATAAATTTTATCATATGCCCTCTTTACACAAAAGAAAACACCCAATCACTTATATTAGATACCTTTAAGAGATCATTGCATGATAAAACGTTTGACCTTTGAGTTTTGTTTTAGGTCATTTCATGTAGTCATTACCAGAAGAAGGCTATGCAAGAGAAACACATATGCTCCATAAGAGTAAGCCCATTATGTGCCTCTAATAATGTCACCTATCCTAATTCCTGCGTGTACTGCTTTGCTAACATGTAAGTGAAAGCATGAAATCAAAAAACAGAACCCTCTTTTGAGAATCCAATATGTAGCTGACAGCCAGCTATGGTCACAAGTTACCTTGTGTAGCTACCAACTAGGAGACCAACCATTCCAATTTTCCTGGGACTAAGAGTTACCTGGTATATGAAACTTTAAGTACTAAAATAAGAGTATCACAGACAAACCAGAATGATTAGTTAGTTGCCCTCCCATCAATATGGTTTCATGAAAGCCCCTAGTGCTTCTTTCATATTTACCCACTCTTTTTTTTTTTTTTTCACTCAGGCCATATAGTATATACCATAGTCACTCCTAATACAGCAATATCTTCAGACAATCTCCAAATCTGCTCTCATAGACCTACAACACTGTGGTCATGAGAATTTCATGGCATATACATGGATTCCTTAGGAGGGAAAGACACTGTACAGATAATTATGATTCCTTTCAAATTTAGTTTTAGCTCTCCACTTTCATCCTTTCTTCAAACCTGGCACTATAGGGCTTCATAGAAATGAAAGATAACCTTTTAGTGCTAAGAATTTATCTTTAGGATTTTAATTTTAATAGCAGGGTAAACAATAAATACACTTTTTAAAAAGAATTATTTTATTTAACTTTATTATTTATTTATTTTAATTTGAGCAGAGAGGGATAGAGAGAAAGTGAGAAAGCAAGCCACCAGGTCTGAGACTCAAACTGTGGTCAGCCATGTGTGAGTCCAGTGCCTTCAACCACCATGCCACCTGCTGGCTCCAATAAATCCATCTCAGTATTCATCTCAGTAGCCTTCAATATATGCAAATATCTGTACAACTATCATCAACTATTGAATTTCAGAATAATTTTCATTAAAACAAAAACTTGAGCCCATTCTCTCCCCCACTCCATCCCAATATTTGGCAACTTCTAGTCTATTTTCTCTTTACAACTTTGCTTATTCTGGACAATGAACATAAATGGAATCATACAATATGTGACCTTTTGCTCTGGCTTCTTTCATTCAGCATAGTATTTTAAGATTTATGCATGTTGTAGAATGTTTCATGTCTTCATGCCTTGTTATGACTGATATCCCATTGTATAGATATGCCACATTTCATTTATCTTTATCAATTAACGAACATTGGTTGTTTCTACTTTTGGCTAGTATGAGCAGCATTACCATGAAATTCATGTATAGAATTTAGAATGAAAAATTGTTTTTACTTTCTTTTGATATAACTCTACTATAGAATTTCTGGAATATGTAGTGACTATGTTTATCATTTTGAATAACTGACAAACTATTTCCCAAAGCAGCTACAACATTTTACAATTCCAGTAGCAATATATGAGAATTCTAATTTCTCCACATCCTCATCAACACTTGATTTTCTTTGTTTTTCGTTTGTTTGTTTTGTTTGTTTGTTTAGAGAGAGATTTTTACTGTAGGGTGCCTGTGCTTACTGGAGAAACAGAGAAAGAGAGAGAATAGAAAGTCAAAAAATCACCCCTCAGGGGGTATGGCCACACCACAATCCCTTCTTCATTCTCCTCTTGGGATTTAGGGCATATATGCACATGCACCCAGTGTGAGTTTTAAGCCATCAGGTCTGGGACTCAAATCACAGGTGACTATGTGGGAGTCCAGTGATGTAACCACTATAGCATCCACAACACTTGTTATTGTCCATCTTTTTTTATGATAATCTTTCTAATAAATGTGAAGTGGTAGCTCATGGTTATACTTTGTATTTCTCCCAGTGACTAATTATGTTGCATATCTTTTTGTGAGCTTATTAGCCATTCATCTATCTTTTTTTGAGAAAGGTCTACTCAGTTGCTTTCCTCACTTCTAGGTCAGATTGTCTTTTTGTTATAGAGTTGTAAGAGTTTTTATATATTTTGAATACAATTCTCCTATCAAATATTGATTTACTAATATTTTCTCCCATTGTGTAGGTTGTTTTTTCATTTCATTAATGATTTTTTATTTGTTTTCTAAATTTATTTATTTTATAATCATTCACTGTACATCATCAGTGCATACAAATGCTATTTCCCATCCAGAATACACTGTATATTGGTTTAGTCAAGGATATTATCATACATGTTATCATCAACAAATAATTTTTCATTTCTTGTTTCTTATATATTTTTAATCTTTTTTTTCTTTTCCCCTTGATTCCCTACTTCTCACCCTCTGCCATTTCCCAACTCCTCCCACACTGTCTCTGGTATCTGCAGTTGCACTTCATGCTTCCCCCCCCCTTTTTTTTTCTTTTATCCCCCAATATGTGAGATAATTTTTCTAGGTACAGTTCTCTTGGTTAAAATATTTTTTCACTTAACACCTTGAATTTATATTCCCATTCTTTCCTTGCTCACATTGTTTCCAATGAGAGGTCTGCTGTTAGCCTGATTGGATGGATATCCTTTGTAAGTAACTTAATGTTTCTCTCTTGCCAATTTTAATATTTTGTCTTTGTTTGTCCTTTCGGTCAATCTGGCTATGATGTGCCTTGGAGAAGTTGTTCTTGGGTTGATTCTATTTAGGGTCCTTTGTATTTCTTCGGTTTGAATAAGTGAATGCCTCTTTAGATTTGGAAAGTTTTTTCCCAGGATTTCATGGTAGAGATTATCAATGCCCATCTACTGCCCATCTTATTTTTATTCCAGTTCAATCTGAGAGATTCATTCTGCTTCTTATGCCCACCATTTCAGAGAAAGTTCACATACGATTTATTTGACATCCAAACATTCACACTTATTTCCCTTAGACTGCAGTTGCTTTCTCCTCAGATTGTCAACGCATTTAAAATATGGGCCAGGTTCATGATAAGGCGGACTGAACATACCTTTAAACTAACTGCACATATGACTTTCTTTGTCCTTCAAGTTCCAGGTCGGATTCTGTCTGGCACTTTTTTTTCTGTACCTTGGGGCAATCAGAAGGTTGATACACTTGAGCACACCAAAGATTTCTGACTTTATATTTTACTTAAAGAATATCCTTTTTTTTTTTTTTTTTGAGAGGTTTTTGCTATAGGGCACGTGCGCTCGCCATACAGACAGAGACAGACAGAGAGACAGGAAGTGAGAAATCACCCCCCAGGGGGGATGGCCACAACGCAATCCCTTCTCCTACGTTCTCCTCTCCGGATCTTAGGCATGCACGCACACGCGCCCGGCGTGAGTTTTAAGCCACCAGGTCCGGGACGCAAACCACGGTCGACTACATGGAAGTCCAACGACATAGCCATTATGCTAACTGCTGGTCCAAGGAATCTCCTTTTTTAGTCATATATTAAAAAGAAAATTCACTAGACATTACATATCAAGTTTTCTAGATATGTGGCCCAGTATTAAGTTAATAAAAAGATATCAAATGATCTGTATAGTACAAATAATCCATATAGTATGATCAGACTTTTAAAAAATATATTCATTATATACATACAAAAATATAAAATATTAATTTTTCCTGTACTTGTCGATTATGATCTTTGCCCCAATAATAAGTATCCTTCTTGTTTTCAGTTCACAGAACAATTTCACAGTGATCTTCAAAAAAATTAAATCTCAGTAGGTACCCATAGTTATTGTCATTTTGCAAATAAAATAAATCTAATTCAGAGAAGTGAAAAGATCTTCCAAGGGTGCCTCAGCAAGTTATTCCCCCCCCCATCTGTTTTTTGACATGCAGGTTTATTCATTTGCTAAAATCTCTACTATTTTTTTTACCATGATAACAAAGGAGAAGGGTCCCCAGGGTGGAAGGGCTTAGTAAAGAGAGAGGCAAATCTCTGTAACTAAGGGCTATGCTAGGAGGCTAAACTAGGCTAAAAAAAAAAAAAATGTTATATTTTATAGAACAATTTCTAAGTACTTTTTTATCCATTTCTCTTAGAGCTTTGAATCACACTCTTAAAATTCAATACAATGGAAAATGCAGCAAGGCCCAACATTCACAAATGTGACATCTTGAGTGAAGCCATTTGAATTAAGCATTGTCTTTCCTTCAGAGAACAGAATTTATGATACTACCTTAATGTTTTAAAATCAATAAATCTTATCCTATGGAAAACTCCTCCTTGGCTCTTGATATATTTGAGAAACTATTTTTGATTCTAGAAATATAGAACTGAATAGGAAGTAACACTGAGCAACTCATGGTCTAATAGGCTAACTGGACTATTCAGTCATTTATTCAGTAAATATTCTTTAAGTACTTATGCAATTGAGATTTGGCTAGACTCTCTGTTGTCAAAGGTTATCAAAACAGATTTGTTCACTTGCGCAGTTTAAAACTCAGTGAGCAAACAACAACGCAGATAGTTATTGAACAGTGTGATAAACTATGAGAGAGAGAAAAGCAACCTAGTGACATTGAGGGGCTGACCTTTGGGTTCCGTACAGGTTGGCCTCCTACTTATATCTGGGCCTCGATGTTCTCCTGTTTAAGGTCTACAATTTTATAGAACAAGTACATCTGACAAAGCCATACTGTGGCTATGATGAATCAAAACAAAGACAATGCCACTCCATACTCATTTCTGAATACAGACAAAACTGAACATTACCCAAACTCCAAATGCCCTCTCTAGACAACTATGAGCCACTACTGCTGCTCCACCAGTTACAACTTTAGCCTTAGTCTTCTTTCATTCTAAATAAGGCTTTTATATACCAAAGATACCAAATTACAGAATTACTTCCATTTTTCCGAGGGCATCTAATTCAAAACAAAGCCTGTTTTCTTTAAGCCTACCTTCAAATTAACTCATTGATACCAAATTTTATAATAATTCCTTCTTAGACTTTTACTAATTCCTAATAGCATTTTACTGATATGCCCTGTGGAGTCTCCAAGATGTGTTCTCTCTCAGACTGTAATGAACAAAAAATTCAGGTTATTCAACTACAGATGTACTTCTGATAGACCTTTCTTTCTTTCAATTTTTTTTTAAAGTTTTTTTTTGCCATAGGTATGTGTGCTTGTCAAAGAAAGACACAGAGAGGGAAAGTGAGAAATCACTTCCCCCCGGGGGCAAGGCCACACCACAATCTCTTATTCATCAATCTCTTTTTGGAATTTTGGGCACACACACTCATGTGCCTGGTGTGATTTTCCTACCTCTCAGTTCCCAGATTCGAACCCAGTTGGTCATGTGGCAGTCCAGTGCTTAAACACTACACTACTTGCTGACAACATTCCTGATAGTTTTTGGCTGGAGGGCATGACAAATGTAAAACAGGAAAGTGGCAGTAATATCATTCTTGTTTCTCAATCCCTCTTTCTCACTTCTCTCTCCAAAGATATTGATAGGGGCGTGAAGAATGTGTAAATAGATAATCTTAGACTCTTAAATTCTGGTCTAGGAAATATTTTATTCATTTATTAACTCATGTGCTACCTTGTTACAAAAATAATTTAAGATGGAGGGTATTATTTAGTGAATTTAGAGGTACAGAGAAGAGAAAAAAAATCCCTGAGAATGTTATACAAAGGCAACATTCTGACCAAAGAAACAACTAACGACAATGGAACGCTGAGGTATGATGAGAGTACACTGGCATTGATGGTTAACAAGACACCCCTTCCACCAACAGCTAAGGCCTACCCTTTTCTTAAGCAGGAA